AAGACATTCTCTTTATTGGATTGGAAGAGAATCTGTAGGTCTTCTAAGATAGTTTTTCCCCCCCTTGGGTTTTTTAAAATTTACATACAAAAATATAGTGTGTTCTCTTGGTGTATTCTGTATAACAGTTCTTTTGTTTTAGTACTCTATCTAGGTAAGTTAAGATAAAAAAGAAGCTCATGCAAATCTTACAGTTCACACAGAGCATTGTTTCCTCAGTTCTGGTAACACATCACTGTGACAACATCTCAGAAATGGGTAGTGGTATTTCTAGTTAATGGTATATTAGTGCTGTTATACCAATGAAGATACATATAATTTCTGACAAGTCATGTAGGACTTTGATCATGTCCAACTAAAATGAAAATGAACAAGCTAAATTTTATTTAAAAACTGTAGCCCTTGCTCACTTTTGCAGTGAAAGGGTTTTTGAAGTATTGACAATCGTATCTGAGACAACTAAGCTTTGACAGTCTTTGTCCACCATGGCTCTCAGATTACAGATTCTCTATAGGATCTACAGTGTTAGCAAGCAGAACTACTCACTTCTACCAAAGATGTACTAGAGCAAATAATTAATGACTGATTCTTTAAAAAATTAAAAAAATCTTACAGGTGACAAGACAAAGCTATAAACCCAAAGCCTCCAGTTTTCTATTATTTTTACTTATTATTAGATTATCACTGCTGCATTATATATTGTATTTTAAAATTAAGATCAAATGTATCCTCAGTTGATTGCTTTTCCTCATGGACCTCTGTGTGTACTTGGGACTGAACCACAAAGTGTGTTCAATTCTAGTTACTCCACTAATAAATGTGTAACAATAGCTGCCAAGTATCTAAAAAGAGAGAGGTAATGGAATAATTATTATTTCCTTATCTAGTATATTTATTTGGAATTATTTAAGCAAAGAATTGATCCTTTCTAGACTCCTTAATGTTTGTAGTTGTTTCTGAAACAGAATCTCAGGCCTTTCCAATGTTTTCCTTGAACTTCTGTAGTAGCCATTCTCTATTTACCATTGCCAGCTGGGTATCTATTGTTATTACAATGTACCTGATATAGTCAACTTAAAAAGAAGAAGAAAAAATAACATCACACCCATTAAAAAAGAAAGAAAGAAAGAAAGAAAGAAGCCAAAACCAAAGACAGAACCACCAGCAAAAAACCCACCAAAATACAAAATATAGCCAAGAAAAACATACAACAGTAGTGTGGAGTCCATTGTATGTTGGTTAAATGCTCCTAAAGAAAAGGCCTGTCAGGAAATTGTTGATAGACCCAGTGTTACTCTATTAGAGAAAACTGATTTTCCGTTGCCCAGCAAGTATAACTGACAGTTTACTTGTGGTGTTGTTGTATTGGTTTTCTGCTTGTTTGTTTGTTTGTTTGTTGACAAAGAACTTATAGTTGGTTGGGTAGGGAAATGATATGGAAGGATTTGAGGAAGGGTAAGAATATTATAAGTACAGTTAAATTTAAAATTTGGGAGGTGTCAGTCCATGGCAACTTCATTTGCTTATGATGTGGTAGTGGATAAGAAAAATGGGAGATGGAGCATAATTAAATTCCCATTGCCATCAAGAATACATTTTCAGTAACCTATAACCTTTTATGCCACTGGTTTTTAAGGTTTTACCATCTCCCACTTGTGCCACAGGCTAGACCAAGTCTTCAAAATACAAGCTTCCAAAGAAGCATTTCTATTTGTGTCTTGCTTAATTCACTTAATGTAATACTTTCAGATTCACTGTTTTTGTTCCAAATAACAAGACATAACTTAAGGGCTCTTTATGGCTAGGTAGTGCTCAATATTGTTTATGCATATTTGTATATGGTTTATCCATTCATCAACTGTTTGTATTCTCTAATTATTGTAAACAATTCTATAATAAACATAACTGTGTTTCTCTTTGGTATGTTGAATTAATGGGATTGCTGCATCATACAGCAGATCTATACTTTGTTACTCATATACATAGGTGATGGGAGATGTCCTTCTGCATGCTGTGAATATATTTCTTATTGTTTGATGAATAAATGCTGATTGACCAGTAGCTAGGCAGGAAGGTAGATGAAACTACCAGACTAGGAGAACACTGAGGAAAGGAGCACAGAGAGGGAGCTGATGCCATATAGCTGATGAAGGAGTAACATACTGGAGCATTATGGGTAAGCCACATGGTTTAATAGAAATGGGTTAATAATTAATATATAGTTAGTCAATAAGAAGCCTGAACCACTGGCCAAACAGTTTATAATTAATATAAGCCTCTGTATGTTTGAGACTAAACAGCTCTGGAACAGAAGCTCCATCTTCACACAGGTATATAAATACACACCCACTCACTCCCACACACATGTATACATATACTAACTAGGTTACTCAGAAGGGAAAACATGCTATTTGTCTTTTTCACTCCAATTGCTAAAATGATTTCCTCTGTTTTCCTACAAAGATGATTAATTAGCTTTCTTAATAACTGTATACAATATTATTGTTTGTATATACCACATTTTTTGTATCCATTTATGGATTAAGAACAATTTTATAATTTCAACCACAGTGACTGAGAAAATGAACTTGACATTCCCCAGGATGTAGACAATTAGTTCTTGAAAAGCAAGTTGGATTTCTTTAACCTGGTACCCACCTGTGTATACCTGTGTATAATTGGGTAGTTTCTCACAATTGTTATTATTAGATTGACACTACGAGATGTCTATGTACTTAGCTTATTTCTCTAAAACTCAGTTGAAGTCATCCACTGAGAAAGGCTGATTGACTCTGGAATCCTGCTGTCAGCTTTCAGAAAAGGTCAATTCTACTCCATTAATCACTAAATAGACATAATCACTTGTGCTCTAAATTATAAAATTGCCTCCTCATAATTCACCAGCCTTCTGTAGAACCTCTATTAACTCACTGCAAGAAATGTCCAGTTGCTAAGTGAACACAGTATTTACATATCAGCCAGAGCTGCAGAGGCCCATTTTACATTATGAAAATTAGCTTTCTTTTCCCTTGAGGTAAATTGCAGATTTTTTCAAATAATAGAAAATGTGACTCATGTTCCATATGATAAGACAAATATCTGAAATCATCTAGATTGTCCAACAAGACAGATTTCATTTTAATTCATATTTTAATTGCTATAATGTCAGGCTCAGAGCTCATTAAAAACTTTAAGACACCATATCTTGGATATAAAATATTTTTATTGAGAAAATGATTTTTTTTTTCTGCCTTGAGAATAGCCCTCTAACTAGAAAGCACATACCATTAGTACAAGTCTAATGCATTAAAAACACATGCTGATGAATGGACAATTCATCTCAATCTAAAATTATAATCATTTTATTACCTTTTATCAAGAAAGGAGTGCCCAGAGAGAAGAAAACAAAGCATAAAGATATTTCCAGAACTTGAACTTTTCTTGGCTCACTGGGCCCTTGATAATCACAGTTGCCTAACTGGTTTATAGTAATTCTCTTTCCTCTCTTCTCACACCAGCCAGTTGACATTTGAGGTAGCTGCTTCCAACATGCCACCTGATTGAGGCTGTATAGTAACTGCTAAAATACTGAATAGCACTCTCAAAAATTTTATCCACTTTGAAGGAACTGTGAGGAAAGGCTCATCTGTTCTCATTAAAACTTCCTCCATTTATTGTGGAAATGGTCATCATATGAATAGCCTACTCTGTATTTTACTGCAGACACTGACTAATGCCAGTTGAGAATAATTGTCTGCTGTTGTCACTGAATCAGCAGTTTTCAGCTGCATATAATACATTAGCTTTCAAATTTTCTTCATTAGAAACTCTCTAAGTTTAATTTATTCAAATATGTAGAGGTTAAAGATCTTCTGGTGAAACACTCATCAGCAACAGTTGTTACACTCTGTCCCTATAGAGTAGGAAGGCTGCACTATTGGAGACATTCTCTACTATGGATAATTAACAGGTAGAAAGCTCTGGCCCCTATTCTAACAAGGCAGTAGCCCCAACCTGGTAGGTAAGTTGGGTCTTTATCATATGGAGAGCAAAGACAAGAGCAGAAATAGAGACAGAAGTGGTCAAGAGTTCATGCAGATGGGGAGAACATGGGCAGGTCCCCTTGCCTTTAGGTCCCTTTTATTAGGATATTTATATGGGGAACTTGCTAGTGTAAACTCTGTCCTCTCATTAATTTTTCATGCTTAGGAAAATCTTTCTCAAGAACCTGGGAGACCTCCTGCTATAAGTTCATCATTCAGATAGGTATTTGTCTCTTGTGTGAATTTGTAATCATGGTGATTTGAAAGAAAATGGCCTCATAAGCTCAAAGTAAGAGGAATTATTAGGATGTGACTTTGCTGGAGTAGGTGTGTCTTGTTTGAAAAGGTGTGTCTCCAAAGCTCAAACCAGTTCACGTCTGGTTGCCAGCAGAACAAAATGTAGAAATCTCAGCTCCTTCTCCAGTAACCTGTCTGCCTGTTCACTGCCATGAAACATATTAAATGTTTTCCTTTATAAAAATTGCTGTACTTATAAGTATCTTTTCACAGAAATAGAAATGCTAACTAAGACAAGCATCAGTTGCAAATACATGTGCCACAATCATGTTGATCAACCTTCTCATTTCCTTTTATACAAAGCAGTTTGGAGAACAGACCTTGAGCATCTGTTTTTATAAAATCTCAGGTCTTGACTATGAGGCTCTGGCTATTCATTTTAGTGATTCAAGTAGTTGGGAGGAATCTTCAAGGCTCCTGCTGATGCTTGTATCTAAATCTTTGGATAACTAATTAAGATTCATAACCATTGAAGAAAGCTTTTAAATTGAAGTATTTGGGCATGGGACACAAGAATCTCTTTCTACACATTAAAGTATCAACATAACTGTTCAATGATAACTAAATTTTCATAGTAAAATAATAAAACATGAAGAATTCAAAGAGGATACAATTTGAACAATGGAAAGCAGAATTGTGACCTTTACCCTTTTAAAAACAGTGCTCGCTTCGGCAGCACATATACTAAAATAAGAATGATACAGAGAAGATTAGCATGACCCCTGCACAAGGATGACATACAGATTTGTGAAGCATTCCATTTTTTTTTTTCAGTAGAACCAGTATTTATCCCTGGTGCACAAATGGGCTTTGCAAGCCCACACTCTATGGAGGGATACTCTCTCAGCCTACATATACATGGGAGGGCCTAGGTCCTACCCCAAATGATGTTACAGATTTTGATGATTCCTCATGGAAGACATCACCCTCTCTGAGAAGTGGGGTTTGTGATAGGGAATGGGAGGACAGGAGGGAGAGGGAACTGGGATTGGTATGCAAAACAAGATAGATTTTAGTTTAAATAAAAATTAACAAAAATGGTAAAAACAATGAGGTGGAAATTTTCAAAATATATTTACTTAGCACCCTCTCAAAAAACCTTAAGTTATATGATATATATCCCTAATTGTTTTAGGTCAGATCCACAAAGGATCCTTTGAGAATGTACTGTCCTTCAACATTTTCTGTTGAAAAAATCCCAGATTTCCCCCTATTTATTTACCTGAATGCACATTGATTTTATTTGATAATATTTCATAGTAAGTCTTTATCATTAATCAGATTCATGTTTTTTTCTTGAACTAGCCATTGCAGCTATAAGCAGCCTGAGGGTGGGAGAGAGAAAGAAGGATGGGGGGGTCGTTGAACAAGATTCTGTTTTACTTTGTATTTTAAAGGGAAATATCATATTTAACAAATATAGCTCATTTTTTAAACCTGTAATTCATACAACAAAGAAAATGAAAATCATATCTCACAATGTTCCACATTCCCCTGACTGACAGCACAGGTTTATTCTCTTCTGTGGGAAAATGTATTGTTTTTCTTAAAGTCTGCTCTGCAGGAGGGCACTAGAAGCAATTATTTAGGGAATAGACATTGAACATCTTTGTTTCTTTCACAGATGTCCCATCAGGAAAATTTCCACTGTGGAATAAAACAGTTCTGAGTTAATCAAGGAGAGGGTCATTCTTGGCTATAGAGTTTTTTTTTTTTCTTTCCTTGAATGTTTCTACTTCTTCTTAACTGCTACCTCTTCTAGAGGATGCTTTTCTGTAAGAAAAACTGTACATGTTAAGCTTTTTTTCTTAGCTAGGTGAAAGTCATCCTCTTTGTTAAATAACATTGAAACCACAAAGAAAGAAAGGCAGAAGCTCAAGAAAGGGAATTTAAGGAAGCAGCTTTCCAGCTCAGAACACCTGTCAAGCTGCATCCCCCATCCTTTGCCATTTCCTTCCTACTGTGCCAACATTACAAAGGTACTGGTTTTGAGTATGGGTTTTCCTTGCCACTGTCCCCTGCCTTTAATCCAGGTGGGGAACCTGGATTAAATTTCCCTGTACACTTGCAAACTCTGATATGCTTCACTAATTCTCAGCTTCAGGAGGGAGAACCAGAGTCAGGCTTCTTAAAACTGGGTCCCTACATTCACAAGTCTTTGGATAATTACCAGTAGCTAGGAGAACACAGAAAGTAATAAACAAGCTAAATTTTTCTTTGTGGCTATTTTGTTTTGTCTTCATATTATCCTTTACCTAGGATAAAAGAAAACCTTGTGTGTGAAGCCCCAGTTGCAGCCCTAGTTGCAACTTAACACTGTGCAGGACAGAAGCTTAAAGAGTTTTCTCAAACATACCCTTTTACAGTTAGGAACAGAAGGCAGGAACCCTGCTTCATACTTGTGATTCAAGAAACAGATGCTTAAACAGCAGAAGAAGCTTCTGATACCAAGAAATATACATTGTACAGACTCATAGAAAAGAAAATCTAGAACTTTTTCTGTATTGTTAACAAATTGTATATCTAACCATGATTGTTTCCTTCTTTATGTACTTGATTTTATTATTCCTTCTCCATCTTTAAGATTAAAGATAATGGAGTTTAGTTACCCAACAAAGTAAGATATCACACTTGGTATTAGTTGCTGTAGAATAGAGGGATGAGGTGAAAAGCAAATATGGATCAAAATCCTGGAAATTGACTGGACCAGAAGGGTAAATAAACATCAGCTTTGCAAACCCAGAAACAAAGAAAGGAAGAATTTTGCACATAGGTATCCATTAAAATGTATATATGTCAGGATTCACTGGTACCCTTCACACTTGACAGAGTTATCCATTTTTCACTAAAATTTGCTGAATAAATACTATAGTCAACTATTGAATGAAATGCAGAAGTTGAGAAAAGGATGTGGCCATATCTACGTGGATATGGGAAGACAATTACATAATCTGATAATGACTGATGATGATTTTCAGATAAAACTCAAAGGAAAAGTTGCCTCATTATTTGGAAGACACCAAGGAAGATAAGAAATGCCTGAAATTCTATTTACATACATGAATGTATGTAGAAATAGTGGGTAAAGATCCTTAACGTCATGGCAAACAGGTCAAAAGCTCTCTGTCTATTCATGTAGATGCCTAAGTGTTTAAAACAGGGGGGGGGGCGTATCTTCTTTTATATGTTATTGAGTTTCTGGTAGACTACTTACTCATTGTAGCCTACAGTGGAAATTATTTGTGGTGTGTGTGTGTGTGTGTTTCAGCACATGGAAAATGGAAAAAAGAAATGGATGAACCTAATTTGCAAGAAGAGTTAAAACATAATTGAAAAGGGAAATATATTTAATTCTCTTATGTGGTTAACTGCCCTAATCCTCAAAAGAAGGTATAATCCTAGCTACTTTACTGTAGTTCTGGATTCACTGATGAAGTATCTGCCATTAGAAGATGTCTAGACCAGATTTCTTCCCATCAACACACAGCCAATGAAACCTTGAATATAACAGCTAAAAACTCACAGAACTTGCTGAAGATTCAAGAAAAGCAAAATCCAACTTCTACACTCAATTTGCTCAGTACTTACTGAATGTTGGGCATAGAAGTCTTATTTTTCCCCACCAAAGAGGGAGGTTAAAAATACACATTAAAAAACTTTTCACTAAGTACATTTTTAGTGCCATGAGATCATTATTAGAGAGCCTTTTCTTACCCTGCCCATACTCACTGGTAATTTTTAGTTGTGCACAGCTAATGGACTTCTCTTGGATTGATTGTTGACATTCTCAGAGCTTCCATTATCTTTCATGCATCAATGTCTGTTAAAAATTATTCATCAAGCCATCAACTTTCCTTTGTGTAATTAACAGATATTAAAATGGCATATTTGGATTAGGAATGAGAAGAAAAAATCTATAAAATGTAAGAGAGTTGATATACATTAATAGTGAGGAAGAAATTAAAAAAGCACTAGTGGCTTCATTGTTAACTAATAAATCATATTTAAAGTGAGTTTAATATGCTATTTCTTTTTGTTAGATAAAGAAATTTTTGCAGGGAGGGAGAGGGAACTGGGATTGACATGTAAAATAATAATAATAATAAAAAAAAAAAAAAAAAAAAAAAAAACGCTTTGACTCCAAAATTTAAGTTGAAGAACAAGTTACTGAGGAAAAGTATTTCTATTTTTGTTTCCACAGAAAATGAAAAGATGTGGATTCCTTCCAGACTAATGTGGTTTGATCACACCAGACCGCCTGAAACAGAGTACAAGCTGATCCTACATTCCAAACAGCTGGACAAAACAGCCCTACAGACTACAGCTAGGATATCTGAATCCTCTTCGAATCCCCCAAGACAGCGCCCCTTACCAGCAGGAAGTAGTTTGGAAAGAACGACGCCCAAATTCCCAAATATTGTGTATAAATGTTTGTTTTCATTTAATTGGACTTTGTTATATAAAATTAAATAAAAAAATACTCTATATGCAAAAAAAAGCACAAAAAAAAAAAAAAAAAGAAATTTTTGGTGGTTTGCTTTGGCAAATGGTGAAAAATAATCACATGAACAAATAACAAAATCAACCATTAGACAAAGGCCAGTTAGTTCTTCTCATTCATATAACTATTATATGTGCTCTATGACTTGGAAATGGAGACCAGTGGACAAAACAGAGAAGACTGGCTATCCTATGGATCAGCCAGTGGAACCCAATCTCCTCTTTTAAAATTAAAATTCTTAGGTTTAGTCATTTGGTTCTGTGGGATTCTGATGAAGCCTTCTAAGCATGCCGATGCCCTTATTATTGACATTATAGTTGCCCTGCAGAACTGGCAGGAAAAGAAAAGGCAAAAGAAACCCTGACTTTTTTACAATTGCAAATTAAATATGTATGAAATATCTCTCCTCCTCCAATCTGGCTCAGGGGATACTCAGAAAATACAGATCTGACAACTGAAACATAAATAACCGATTTAGTTTCTTAGTAGCTGAATATATATTTTTTGTTGTTAACCTAGAGAGATGGCAAAAGAGAAAATAAACCATTTAAATACCCTGTGGGTAGCTTGCTCAGGAAAATGACAAAATAAAATAAATGGCCGTTTTCATACTGTTCCCCAGTGCCACCAGAAAGGTATGGTGCTATTTCTTGATTCTGACAGAAAAACTGGATTTCCAGATTGCTTGTGTATTTCAAGACTTTATGTTTTCACAATGTTCTTAGGAAAATTAACAAAGGAGAATGACTTTGGGATACACAAAAATCTGTTTCAAATAAGCTATTGAAGTTACAAAAAAAGAAATACAAATATATTTGGGTAATGAAACTGCAATAATCACAGATGGTTTTTAATAATATTGCATGGAACTTTAAAATGAACTTTAATCTTTCTTTTTAAAGAAACAAATAATCTGGATCATTTAAAGGTAATAATGTGATATTGCATTAACAAGTCCCTGTAGAATAGAATATGTTTACTGATAGCAATCATTGAAGCTAGAATAGTCAATTTATTATAAAATGATTACATCTTCAAGGAAAAGCAACCATATGAGTAGCATTGTTATCAAGTTTATATTTTTCTTGGAGTATTCTGAACATTGTTGTTGCTAAGATATTAAAGGCTCCATTAATTATAGGAGTTATTAGTCTCAAAGTCAACACTAGCCTATTGTCTTCAAAAGCAAAAAAAAAAAAAATTGTTACTTAGTTTTGGGGGTGGGGTTGTTTTTTTGTTCTGATTACACAAATATTGATCAAATCT